AAAGAGCATATATACATAAGCGGAAGCCTAATGGCCTATGTAAGAAAAACCAAGGGACCCATGGGCGAAAAACCAAATTGTCATTAGTGGAAGACTAAGGGTCTAGTATCACAAGACTAAACGTCCACTACTGAAATACCGAATTACCTACCTGACTATGTGCAATCCCCTAAGTTGGGGTTGAAGGCCAACCAAGCAAAGGTTGCCCGAACTAAAACTTATCAAGCCGAGCAGTAATATTGACCCGCCTCTCATCATAACTCAATTCAAGGGAAGCATGCCTGAGCAACTCTCACATACGCCCCTGTGAACCCCCATCTGGGACCGAGAGCTAGTTATCACATAACAACACAAAAGCTTGTAGGATTACCTCGTTGAGGGGTAAGCTACATGTCAGATTACATTAATTCAACATATGTCTGATAGCCTAGGCTTGCTATGACATGAGTTCTTTGTCCTTGTGTTAATAATCGACAATCATACTAATATAGTCGACTGCAAAAACAAATCGGTTGAGCCAAGTCTCGCTAACTTGAAGACCATCGAGGGCTGATTAACAGCTTTAATACAGCTCAGTATAATAAATATGTCTTGCCGAACTCGGATCGACTAATTTCAACCGATCAAGTGAGTGATTGCCGAATCGTAGACAAATACATGTAAAGTACTTAAAATATGATGCAACACTCTCATTAAAACAAATATAAATATATAATTTTCGTGTATTGTACCCTTCTCTCATATAAGTGGAGGATTATTTTCTCTAATAAAAAAATAAACTACTACTCATTAGTGTACACTTCTCTATCACCATCACTCTCTTTTATTCAATATTTTATTCTTCGGGTGAGATTCAAGCATAATGTAAAAATTCTATTATTAGAAAAATGTGTTCCATGAATTCAACTAAAAAAAATAAATAATATAAATAAAAAAATATTTATAAACTAATTTTATTTGCAAATTGGGGAAGACTGAAAGCGGTGGTAATACAGAAAACGCCCACACCGACCGGGCGTGCCTCCATCGTTTTGGGTGCAGAGGTGTACAATCTTGACGCCTGTCGTGTCCGTGCTTCGGTTATCCATTCGCCGTCCATCTCGCTTTTTAAGTGTTGAGCCAAAGGGGGTGGTGGAACTGTGACGGGCAGAGGCTGAGGTGATAGGCGGGGCAGAGAGAGTTAAGAGAGAGGGGTTGGAGGAGAACCGAACAGGGTTCTTCTGCTTCCATTCTGGTAAAACTTGTAGAAAGGAGATCCGGGATGTCGGAGGGGAAGCCGCTTGTGGAGCTTCGTAAGGGGGTCAATGGACTCGACAAAATCGTGCTGAGAGAGGTTAGGGGGAGCTCGGCAGAGGTGCGTTGCCTTGCTCGATCTTTTTATTTTTCTTGCTTGTTTATTTTGAAGTTTAGATCCTTTTTCTAGGTTCCTTCTTAGGTCAGTATTTAGGTTTTTTTTTT